AGCAAGGTTTGTGATGCTAGTGGTCGTTGTTTGTGAGGAAGGTTCTTAGTCGAAACCACAGATACCTTCGGTTTTAGGGTGAGGATGTAGGACCTCATGATGTGTTTGCCACCACCTAAAAATCCTTTTCCCCATGTCTAAGACAACCCCCAGTCATTTGAACCCATGTCTAAGACCTCCGGACAAGCTAGTGATGACAACCGTTCCGTGAACTCTAGCATTTAGAGGTTGCTGCCGTGGTGTTGAGACAATAGGTCCGGGAGTTGATAATTGTGCACATTTTTTGCACCAAAAGGTCCCGACCCCACTAGTCAAGAGAGTGAGTGATTCATTCTTGTTTTGTATGTCATATCATACCCGGTGAGGACCTTTGTTGCCCATCCGTTTGTTCCTTGGACTTGAACTCTATGCATGGTTAGTTGTGGTTGGTAAATGATCTTTTTGAAACTTGGATTGATTCATGAACAATGTGAGAACTTTTCATTTGCCCATTTCTAGCAGCCTCGAATGTCGTTTGTGATGGATATCGGTATTGCTTGCAACGGTCCTTGTGTTAATTGCCAATAGCCATTTGAGATTCGCCACTTTGTGCCATTTGAATTGTATCCAAATCATTTTGATAGGTTGAGTTTTTACCTTGTGTGAAATGGTTTTCTTTGGGACAAGCAAACATTTAAGTGCGGGGGAGTGATTCGGGCCTAATTGCACACATTTTATCCACGTTTCCCTTGGGCGTTTGAAGCATTTGAACTCCTAAAAGGGTGCTTTTATGCTAGGTTTTGTGTATTTTAGTATGTTTCAGGATCCAACAGGAGAAACCAGTCCCGGAGTCGAAAGTTGGACAAAAAGAGGCAAAGACCGCGCAAAGAGGGTAATCCAGGCGGAGTTCACGGGTTAGCATTGGAGTTCATGGTAGGGCAAACGTCTATCTTGAATTAAGCAACTAGGTTAATCATGATTAAGCCGTCCAACCATCGGTTTGAGGGAGAAGGTAAGTCAACCCTTAATTGCCTTAACCAAGAGAGCTACTCTTATACCATAGTTGCACCTCCTAGCGGTTCATGATTGTCTTGCCCATAACGTCCCATTTGAGTCCACATGACATGGTAGTAGTTAGGGGGAAGCGACACCCGAGTGATCCTTCTCATATAGAGCTTTCAAACCATTTACCTTTGCTTTGTTTTGATTTAAATCTAATAGCTTTCAACCAAAAAACCACTTCGCTAGATAATGTTCAAAACAATGGAAGTAGGGGTACACGGATCGGCCCGGGTTGATATTTAAACATACTTTCCCTATATTGCACCCATCTAAGGTTTATAATTGGGCCTTAGGTGGGAAATTATTGTGATATTCGGGACGAGTCAGCTGGACAAGACCAGATAAGGTTAAAATTTGTCAAAGGCGAACACCACCGCTAGCAGCTCCTTCTCGGTGGTGGTGTAATTCTCTTGGGCATCATTGAGGTTCTTCGACGCATAATAGATGGGTTGGAAATGTTGATCTCGCCTCTGCCCCATGATAGCTCCAACTGCTAAGTCACTCGCGTCGCACATCAGCTCGAATGGCAAGTTCCAATCAGGAGTGACCATGATAAGAGCATGAGTGAGCTTCTCCTTCAAGGTCGTGAAGGTTGTTGTGCACGCGTCGGTGAAATATAATGGGGCATTCTTCTCAAGGAGTTTTGCCAGTGGCAAGGCGATCTTCGAGAAATCCTTGATGAATCGCTGGTAGAAACCTGCATGGCCCAGGAAACTGCGAACTCCCTTCACAGACGTGGGAGAAGGCATCTTACAGACAGTCTCAATCTTGGCTCTGTCCACCTCGATCCCCATCTTGGAAATCTTATGCCCCAACACTATGCCTTCTCGAACCATGAAGTGACATTTCTCCCAACTCAGTGCCAGGTTCGTCTCCTTACACCTTTTTAGGACGAATTCCAAGTTATGGAGACAGTGAGAGAATAAGTCCCCATAAACCGAAAATCTTCCATGAACTCCTCCATGATTTCTCCGACCAAACGGCCGAAGATGGCGAGCATACACCCCTAAAACGTGGTGGGGGCGTTGCAAATCCCGAATAGGATCCTCCGGTAAACAAATGTGCCAAAGGGGCAGGTGAAGGTGGTCTTCTCCTTGTCTTCCAGTACTATGGGAATCTGGAAGTACCCGAACATCCCATCCAGGAAACAATAAAACTCATGCCCCACCAACCTCTCGAGCATCTAATCAATGAATGACAGAGGAAAATTATCCTTCCTCGTGGCATCATTGAGGCGGCGATAGTCGATTCAGACGTGGTACCACTCACCATTCTTATTGGTATGAGCTCATTCTTCTCATTTCGGGCCACGGTCATCCCACCCTTCTTAGGCACCACCTGAGTGGGACTGACCCACTCGCTTTCGGAAATGGTGAAGATAATTTTCGTGTCCATCAACTTGATAATCTCTGCTCTGACCACGACCTTCAGGTTCGGGGTCAATCTCCTCTAAGGCTGTCGCACCAGCCGAATCTCATCCTCCATCAATATCCGGTGGGAACAAAAAGAAGGATTGTTCCCCTGGATATCGGTGATCTTCCATGCCATAGCTCGCTCATACTGCTTCAGTAGGGCCACCATTCAGGTCTTCTGCTCGGATGTGAGGGTCGAGCTGATAATAACTAGAAGTTGGTTCCCCTCCTAGAGAAATGCATACTCCAAGTGAGGATATAGAGGCTTCAGCTCCAGTTTTGGTGGCTCCTCTAGAGAGGTGGTGATACGGGTCGAGGATGAGATCGGCTTGAATGGCTTCTCGACCCCCAGGAAATCGCCACGCTCTAGCGTGACCAACTGCTCCTCCAGATGCAGCTCTTGCGATGCCTGCTCACCTAGCAAAATACAGCTCTCAAGGACATCATTAGTACTCGCACTCATAATGGCGAGCGCGGTTCCAAAATCAGCATTAATGTCACAGCAGTCCAAGTCATCATGCAAATGGGAATGCTCTGCATTGTCATACACAAAAAATTTAGCTTGTTCATCCCCATCCCGCTAAATTAACTTGCCACTATGCACATCAATCAACGCCTTGGCAGTGGAGAGAAATGGTCTACCCAAAATCAAAGACACATCCACATCTTCATTTATGTCCAAGATAACAAAATTAACAGGATATGTGAATGCACCCACATTGACAAGTAAGTCCTCAATGATACCCCTATGATGCACAATAGATCGATCAGCTAACTGAATACTCATCCTAGTGGTTCTGGGTTCACCTAGGCCTAGCTTCTTAAACAATTTATAAGGCATGACATCAATGCTAGTGCCTAGGTCCGCCAATGACTTTCCTACATGCATGATGCCAATAACAAGAGGGATAGTAAAACTCTCTGGGTCTTTTCATTTCTCGGGCAACTTGTTCTGTAGGATTGTAGAACACTCCTCACTCAGCATCACTGTCGACAGATCTCCAAGTTTCTTCTTATTGGTGAGGAGATTCTTCATGAATTTTGCGTACTTGGGCATCTTCGACACTGCCTCCACGAACGGTATGCTGATATTGATATGCTTCGACATTGCCATAAACTTGGAAAACTCAGTCTCCAGCCTGTCCTTGTGCATACGAGTGAGGAAAGGAAGCAAGGGCACATGCACCTTAACCACGGGTTGTGGTTTGGGGGCAGGTGCTTCCTTCTCAATCTCCACTTCTTCATCTTCGGCTGGAAGTGCTGAAGCAGGTATCGGTTCATCCTGCCTGACTAGAGCAAGAACTGTAGTCATCGTCTTTCCACTTCTAGTGGTAATAGCATTTAACTACTAAGGAGGCTCTCGAGGATTGGGGATGGTGTTGGCAGATAGAGTGCCCAGTGCTCTGGTGCTGTTATTCCTGGAGATGCCTCCGATCTTCTGGCTCTCTGACCTGCCACCAGTTCATTGAATTTGCCCATGGAAAATCAATGAACTGGTTCATCTTGGCAAACTTCTGAGTACTAGTACTCACAAAGTTCATCACCATATTTCGCAGCTCGGCCATCTGGTCACCCTAAGCTGATCTCAAAATAATCTCCAGTCTGTACTCATAATCATAAATGTCAATAACTAATAATCTCTGAAGTTGTTGCTACTGAAAACCTTGACTAAGCATCCTCTGTGACGCTTACTCTACCATCCTCTAGCTGGCTGCCCTTGAACTTTTCCTCTCGAACTCGCTGCTCCCTAACTGCTCCTCTAGCTAGCTGCTACAAAACTGGTTATCGCTCATTCCCTTAGTAAGGCCTGGTGTGTGAGTTGGGGTCAGTCTACGCCCTTACGTTTTAAACTTTCTAATAATTTTGCACTTCTTCTCAAACACTTAAACTCAAACTGAGGGAAGTTGTTTGTACATCCATTTCTTAAAATCTCAACTCTTAAAACTGTATGGGAGTAACTGTTACTCTCCATTCTTAAAGCTTAAATCTCAACTTAAATACTTGACTGACACGGGGATCCCTCACTAGCTAGTCCGGTTGCCAACTCATACGTATGAGAAGCCACTCAGGCTTTCCTTAAACTTAAACCTAGTTAGGGAAGTCGTAACGATTCATCCCCCTAACATCTTAAACTTATCGGGGTGGCTCTTCACCACGATTCTCAAGGGCATAACTGCTGCCCATCTTAAAATCTCAAGAGCATAACTGCTGCTCTATCTCAAAGATCTCTAGAGCATAACTGCTGCTCTATCTGAAAATCACAAATGGCAACGGACTGGCGCTAGTGACTAAAAATACTTAAAACCACTTCACCTTCTTGAAGGTGAGTTACTTATTTAAAAAGAACCTGTTTCTTACTCTTTAATAATAACTCATACTCGTAAAGCTTTAAATTAAATAATAACTCATGTACCTTCACATCAAACATAGCTCAAACAAAATTACATATCACCAACAATAATCATGCAATCTCAAACTTGAATCAAATACTGCACATATATCACGTAAATCGATACTCGAAAATACTCAAGGAAAACACTTGAAAATCGTAAGGCGTAGAATTTATCCCCTTTACACTCACCTCAACTCGGTTGCCTTGAATCATCCACCATCCAACCTTGGACCGATCACCTTAGCACATGCTGAACTAAGCATTCCTCTTTTCCAAATTACGTGGCCATATCTCTCACCTCCTCAATGCCCCCTCAACATATAATTCCATCCATTCTAATATGAATCCGCCACCTGCCACTGGATTGGCTTCTTTGACAAATGGACCTCCAATTGACAAAACTTAATAATCAAACCTGCCCTTCTTTTTCCCTGGATACAACTTCTTGCTCGCCTTTGTTGCGCAATAGCATTGTCAGCTTCCATCTCCAATCCTCCAAGTTTTCAAGCGTTGAACCACTCATCGACGACCCAGTTTCCGGCTCGGACTCATCGCTGGCTCCGGGGATAAAAATTGGGGATGGCAGCAACCTTCCAATCCAAAATTAAAGGAGAAGATCCCCTAAAATCCCTGCTGCTACAAACGTCACCGCCGCTCATGCACCGTCCATTTCCAAGCTGTCTCAAATGGGGGGGAACGTAGACGGAGGATGAACTAAGAGCCATGAATTGGCGGCAAGGGAAGGAGGATTTTAGCGATGCGACAACACGATGAGCGCTCCGCCGGTAGTGGCGCCATGATCCCGAGCTTGAGCTCGTCCGGGAGGGTGGAGGAGCAGTTGGGCACAGGCAGTCCTGCCTCCTCCGTGATGTCAATCAGCAATGGGAAACAGAGCCCGTCCTGGATCGCCTTGCTTGTGAGAGACCTCCGCCAAAGATCCATGGTGAAGAGTTCGCTAAACCTAGAATTTTCCCCCAGACCAAGACTAATAATTAACGATGGAGAAGTGTGGCCGGTTGGATTAGTTTATTTTCTTTTACTGAATAATAATAATAATAATAATCATATAATAATAATAATTATTATTATTATTATCCCTAATCCGAGGTTGTAACTCTTTGTACGCAACCGTTAATCCAATCGTTCACGTATTATGGTCGAACCTGAATCCAAAGATCGGGGTGTAACATTTCCTCCACCCTTATAAAAAAAAAATTTGTCCCCGAAATTTGCTTGAATCCCATTCCTTTGTCAACACCATTCTTGTGCTTCTTTGCCTCAAAATTTACTCTCGCTATATGAACCTTGATGATGTCCGTTGCTTGTCACGTATAGTCTACCTCACCTCAAGTTATCTCCTCTTGACCATAAAAGGTATTCTCAACAAGCTCATTAGCATCGAGTAGCTTTGAGTGGCTACTTGTCCTTTTAAATCCTCAAACTTGCACCGCAGGACAAAATTTCAATTCAATTTTATTGGTCCGGCTCATTTAGTACTTGTTGTTGGACCTTAGATCGAATTCGAGGTGTCACATTTCCTCCCTCCTTAAGAAAATTTCGACCTCGAAATTTGTTCATTGCTGATAACCTAAAGTCTCACTTGAGGTAATCCTTCTGCTGCAAGGACTTATACTTCCTTTACCTTATACAACCTGGAGCTATAAACCCCTTCCTCCAATTCGTGTGGTTCTTCGCCAACTAATTACTCACCCATTTTTCATAAATCTTTTGCTCAAGCTAGTTACTTGCTCAATGCGTCTATGGCACTAAGGCACTCTCCCTTCTTAAATGCCTCTGACGGTGTAATGGCTTTCGTAGCTCTTGTTGTTCTCAACGATTTGTCTTGGGTCTCTACTTAGGATTCCTTAAGAACTTAAGGAAATAAATTATTAGCCAGCTATTCAGGTCATGACTCGTCGTAACTTCAGCTCGTAACAGGCCCATACCTTGAACTTCGTCCTCCCTATCTTGACTGCTGACGACTCTCCTAGGTATAGAATGTCTGTAGAGAATGTTTGACCTGCATGATGATTGACTCCGATGCTGGTTCCTAGGCATCACTTCTTCTCCCTTTATAAGCCTCTCTATTCTCCTCTTTGATAACTCCACTTGATATGCACACTTGATGCCTGATTCACCATATATGGTTCCTTCAGCATGGGTCAATTCCTACGCTCCCCTATTGATATCCGTGCTACCCCTTTTAATCCTAAGGCTACTGATGGCGGCTTAACCTCCTTCTGGTTAGATCACAAAAACTCTTATAACGTAACCTCGACTGTGGTTTACCACGTAGGTCACCTAGGTCCTTGTACCTTCTAGCTTTAAATCTCTTACTTTCTTCTTTGATGCTTCGTCTTATCCTTTAAACCATAAACCACGTAGGTCACCTAGGTCCTTGTACCTTCTAGCTTTAAATCTCTTACTTTCTTCTTTGATGCTTCGTCTTATCCTTTAAACCATAAACTGAGTGGTCATCTCCTTGTTACTTCTTGTTTAACTCTGAAACCTCATATTACAGCTTTTACTTTCTGTATGCATTAGAGGCATCCTTTGCATCTTTCTCTAGCTTGCGATCTCTTTCAAGAATCATGGCCTTCTCTCTGGCTTACTTGTTCAGTCCTAGCGCCTAACTTAACACAGTTTAACTTGGGAGTCACAACTTCCAATGGTGGCTTTCCCTTGGTAACCTTTAACATAACTCATTCCATGTCTCTTTTGTTGATCGATCTTGTACACAGCCTTAATCTCTTAGTCATGGCTCTTGTACACACCTTATTGTAAGTGAAACCTGTGATCATATCACTATCTTGTACTGCTTCGTCATTACGTTGTATCCTCATAACTAGCTTCTCACAAAATTGGTGATATGTTACCCTGCATGTAACTGTCAACTGAAAGATTCTACCACCAACGAAATGAAAGCCCAAATTGTTCTCTACTTTTTATGATTTCCACTGGACGATTAGTTCAAATCGTCTAAAATCACTACATAAAAAAATTCACTAATTACTAACTAAACAAAATCATAATAGCATTTCAAGAATTAAGTACAAATGTGTCTCTTAGTCTCTTACCTATTAGCATATTTGCAGCAACCAGGAGAGCTCTGCCCTTTACTTCGTAACATATGGTTTTTGTGGTGAGAAATTGTGATACCTCGGCTTCGATTTAGGGTCCAACCTCAAGTACTAAATGAGCTGGACTAATAAGTTGAATCAAAATTTTGTCCCATCACACCCTAGGCAGCAAGCAACTGACTTCATTGAATTTCATATAACAAGAGTGAATTCTTGAGCCAAGGAAGCATGAGAATGAGGAGTATGGAAGGGTGAGTCCGATCAAATTTCGAGGACGAAATTTTTATAAGGGTGGAGGAAATGTTACACCCCGCTCTTTCCAAAAGTCAAAATGACAATTATACCCTTGGAAAAAATGGTCAAAGTCCACAGTAATATTTAAGGGGACTCAAAACATAAACTAATGGTTTGAACGGTGTTGAATTTCGATAAAGAGTAAGGTAGTTATGAGCGTGTTTGGGTAATGCGTCAAAACCCAATCAACTGATTGGGCTGGCAAAGCTTTTAAAGTAGTAAGGTGGGTCGGGTCCAGTCTGCATTGTGGGATTTTTTTGGGAACAAAAACAGGTGGGTTTAAGCCCGAGTTAGAATTAAAAGAAGAATGGGCCGGTGTGTGGTCACAAAAATGAAGAGAGGAAACGGTTGTAGGCGGGCCAGGGTGTAACACCCCGACTTTCGGGTTTAGGTTAAACCATAATATATTAATGGTTGGATTAACGGTTATGTACAAAGGGTTGCAACTGCTGATTAGTAATAATAATATTAAATATTATTGTTATATTATTATTGTAATTTAAAAATAAAATAAAAAAGATAGAGCCCGGCCAAGAGGGCGCTTAGCCCTCATTAACCCTTTTCCCATCACAACTACAGAAAACCATCGCCCAGCAATTTTCCCCATCGCAACCCCGACGCGGAAACCCTTCTCCCCAGCCACTATCTACCCAAGAAACCCGAAACCCTAGCAGCCGAAGGAAACACACTTAGGCCTTTTATTCTTTTAACCCCCATCATCTCTCGCTCCATTTTGGTTGTCCATGCGATACCACGGGCACCGAAAACGAGAAGGGAGGTAAGAAGTGCAGTAACGCACCTGATTGTCGAAGTTTCAAATGGGGAATGGTGATACGGATGGAGCCTAATGAGGAAAAAGGGGATTACATGTTGAAGGATGGATTGAGATTCAGGCTGTGCAGGTGGCAGGATCTCGAGGGGTGCTTTTGGTGGAATTGATGCCGAATAAGCCATATGGTATAAGCTCCAATCTTATAGCTACACGTTATGGGTGAATGAAATTAGTTATGGGTGATTATTTCCTGGTGATGATTGGAAGAAGGCAGCAGTTAAAGGGAGGAATTAAATGGACAAAGTCCATTGTCCTCTAGTGAAAGGGAAAAGGAAGGGAAAGGTTTTGGTGGTGGGTTCCAGCGGCGGCAGCGACGGAGACGTGATGGACAAGGGATGAGTTTCGGATAATTGAGAGAGAGCCCGGGTTAGTTTGAGTGATGATGCTATCCGACGAGCCACTATAATGGTGTTCCTGAGATAATTGGGCGAAGGAGGGATTCCTTCGAATAAGTAATCGAGAGTCGTCTTTTCGAGGTGAGTGTAAAGGGGGTAAATTCTACGCCTTACGTATTCTTTTAAGTATTATGATTTTAAGTATTTTAGTGAATTAATTACCATTGCTTTATTATGTTTATGATTGATTAGTTGTGCTTTGCTTGAGCTATGATTTGAGGTGTTTTGGGGTGATTTTGTGTTATATACCTTAAAGCGTTATGTTATGAGTTATTGTTAGAGTTTAAGAAACAAGGTTTTTTTAAGAAGTAATTCACCTTCAAGAAGGTGAAGTCGTTTTAAGTGTTTTTAGTCGCTAGCGCCAGTCCGTTGCCATTTAAGTTTTTCAGATAGAGCAGTAGTTATGCTCTGGAGATCTTTGAGATAGAGCAGCAGATATGCTCTTGAGACTTTTAAGATGAGCAGCAGTTATGCTCTTGAGAATCGTGGTGAAGAGCCACCACGATAAGTTTAAGATGTTAAGGGGATGAATTGTTACGACTCCCCTAACTAAGTTTAAGTTTAAGGATAGCCTGGATTGCTTCTCATACATATGAGTTGGCAACCAGACTAGTTAGTGAGGGATCCCCGTGTTAGTCAAGTATTTAAGTCAAGATTTGAGCTTTAAGAGAGGAGAGTAACTTCAAATCCCTCAAAGTTTAAGAGTTAAGATTTTAAGATTGGAAGTACAAACAACTTCCACTAGTCAAAGTTGTTAAAGCCTACCAGGAGATGATTTTCAGTAGCAGCATCGACAGAGACTACCTAGTTATTTGCATTTTATAATTATGAGTATAGACTGGAGATCAGATTGAGATTTTAAAGTTTTAGTTTAATTTGCCCACATGTTAGGGCTTTGCTTTGAACTACAAGTGTGTGTTTTCAGTATTTTATTTATGAAATTTTTTTCCGCTGCAATCTTAGGTTTGAGTATTTTATTTATCAAGGGCAAGTTAGTAAAATTAGTACCCGGCCGGGTTAGGGTGTTACATTTTGGTATCAGAGTCGGTCTTCCTCTGTTCCTTGGTTTACAAGGAATACTGGAATGTCGGTCTCAGTTTTTAAAGGTTTGTTTTAAAGGAAAGGAAAATGAGTCAATGATCTTCTTTTAAGAGTTTACGGAATCTCCGGTCTACTCTAATCATAATAAGGTGAATAGCTATGAAGGTACGACATGACGGAATGGTAGCGCGAGGGTGCGATTGGTTTAAGAATAAGCTAGGAGATGATTTGGTTAACATGTCGTGGTTTGTCAAAGGAGATATCTTGGAATATGACGATGGTCAGTAAGAAAGAAGGGATGCAAGAAACATGACCAACCCAAGTAGAATCTCAAAGGCTCTCAAGATCAAGTATCTCGTCGACATGATAGATAGTAGTTCTTGAATTTGTTAACCAACTACTCGGGCGTTAGCAAACAGATCATCATCATCAACCTAGAGAAGGAAGGAGGAACGTTGCAAAGGTCTGTGGAGGTAGAATCAAATGTGCGTGGACTTCAACTCAATACACCAGCAAAGAGGTGCCAATTGAAAGGGAATACCTCAAGGATTTTGAAGGAGTTGAGAGAGTAGTACGAGGATTTTACTACTAGGAAACAAGTGGAGGATCTAATAAGCTAAGACAAACAAAGGGGAGAAATATGAACCTCCGAGGGAAGAGGTACAATCACCAGATGTCAGTAGCTATGCTAATAGGAGGATGTCAGGGTCTTTGGTCCTAAGTAGTGGCGATGAGGAAATGGGTCAAGAAATGAAGAGGTACCACGAGATGTCCCTCAACTAGTTTTATTCGTTGATGGCTCGACGCTATTACAACACAGTGACCAGGATTAGTGGAAAGCTTATACTTTAAGAAAAGCTAAGGTAGTATAAATGAAGCAAAGGAGGAAATAAGTAGGTTACAGGGAGTATGAAAGGACGTCAAGAATTCAAAAGGTCAAGGCAACGAGGAGGCATGGTCATTTACATATGACGATAAACGAACCCTTATAGATAAACTAGGTCAGTAGTGAAAAGGGTACATGACCCTGGGGAGTTAGGCTGATAGCAAGCCTTTAAAAGGAAAAAGACAAGCATCAAGATGATTGAGGTAGAGGATGAGCTTGGATCAAGAATAATAATGTTCTAGTGAACAACGCCGATCTAGAAATAGGATGGATTGGGATATGAGAGACCCTACAAACTACCCAGATCACGAAAGGTCATGAAGTTATTGGGACCATTGAAAGGGGAATGCAAGAGTTTGTGATGATCTTTTGTGTGGTTGTCCTATCCTAAAAGGAGGGAGCACCTAGCCATCTAGGGTACATGAGAGGTGATAGAAGGAGGAGCCTTTATAGTAAGTTGGAAATAGGTGGCTAAGAGCTGAAGTCTCGATCTCGGCGTCGCCAAGAAGGGAAATGAAATAGGGGAAACGGGGAGGGTTCGAGCCTACCCTCCAAAGCGCTGGGGAGTTTCAGCGATCCGTCATTGGCCTCCGAATTGTGGGCCGAGGAGAGACGAGCTTGTTGCTGGCAGCGGCGGTGAAACAACGGCGATGGTGGCCGTTGGGAAATTGTTGGTCGGGGAAGATGACGAGGAATATCCGGAGGAATGCGATGGTGGTGGTCTGGAAGGCGGGGAGGAAGAAGACGACGACGGTGGCTGGAGTTGGGGCGGCAACGGCGAAACCGTGAGGTTCGACGGCGACATCGTGGAGGTGAGGAGTCTTCTCCCAAATTTTTGGAATTCAATGGCATGCCATTATAAATTTGATGAATAGTCAGGGGCATATATATCTTCTTGGAGTTGGGGCAATTTGATAAAATTTGGGAAGTTTAGGCGCCGTAAAATAATTGACCAGGCTTGGGGTGAGTTCGCAATTAGTAAATGTTTGGGTATCAGATTGGGAATAAGCCGTTTGGACTAAAATGTTTAAATCAGAAAGTGGAAATTGGCCTGGAGGACTGAATAGAGCAATTCTGGAATTTTGGGGCCGAATTGATAAGACCCAAGAATTTCGAGTACCATTTGGTAATTTGCCATTTTGGGGCAAAAAGGTAATTTTCTAGAATTTTATGGGGAATCCTAGGAAATATTAAATAGAGGAAATTGGGATTGAAATTAACCAAATTGAAGGTCGTTTGGTTAGTCACACTTGGAGATAAGTGAGTTAAGTTTTGCCTAAATACCTAATAGGAGGAAATGCAAAAAGAGGCGAAGTACGTGGAGTTGGAGCGTGGAGTTTCGGATGATGACGTGGATCAACCGATAATTAATAGGGGTCGTATCGATTAGCCAAGCTTGGCTAGCAAGGTGAGTGTAAAGGGGGAAATTCTACGCCTTACGTATTTTTCAAGTATTTGCCTTACATGTTTAAGAAGTTGTTTTATGTGAAATTGTGTGCTTGCTTATGTTTATGGGTGATGATGTGTGTTCTTTTGATTCATAGTTTGAAGGATATGTTTATGAGCTTTGAGTATTTAATTGAAGATTTTACATTTCTTTAGACGATTAAGTTAAAGTGATAAGAGCAAGAGAAAGTTATAAGTCAGAATAAGTTAACCTCGCTTCGCTAGCCACTAGCTAGACAGATCCCTACTGGACGGTGATAAGTTCCGCGGTAGTTAATCACTACCAGATGGTGATACGTTCCGCGGTAGTTGGTCAGGCGTGGAGCCGGACGGTGATGAGTTATGCGGTCTCCATTGCCTAGGTTTAGGTGTGCTACCGGATGGTGATACGTTCCGCGGTAGTCACGCCGTAGTTTGACACCGGATGGTGATTCGTTCCGTGGTGGTCTTACCCATTTGAGGGGCACCCCATTGTGAGGGTAGTCATGTTTAAGAAGTAAGAAAGTAAGTAAGGCTAGTAGTGGCGCCAGCTAAGTCGAGGTAGGGGCCCCAACAATAAGATAAAGGAAGAACTAATACGTTTTCAAGAGTTAAAGTTTAAAAGGCGGAAGTACAAACAACTTCCATAAGTTTAAGTAAGTGTTTCAAGCAAAGTACTCAAGTATTAAAAGTAATAAACGTAAGGGCGTAGACTGACCCCATCTCACTCACCAGTTTGAAGAGGACTAAGAGGAGTTAGAGAGCAGCGAGTTCGAGAGGAGCAGTTTGCGGGCAGCCAGCTGGAGGAGGGTAGTACAAGCACTATGGACGATGTCTAGTCAAGGCTTTCAGGAAGCAGTAGCATAAAAGACTTTTTAGTTGTTTCAGTTTATGATTATGAGTATAGACTGGAGATCATTTTGAGATTTAAAGTATTGAGTTTGCCCACGTGTTAGGCATTGCTTTAAACTACAAGAGTGTGTTTTCAGTATTTTAATTATGAAATTTTTCCCGGTGTAGTTTAAGTTGTGGGTGTTTTAATTTTCAAGGGAATTTTAGTAAAAGTAGTGACGGCCGAGCTAGGGTGTTACATTTTGGTATCAGAGCCGGTACTCCTCTATTCCTTGGTCTCCAAGGAATACTTGATTGACGATATGCGTTTTTCAAGGTTTCAGTTTTTAAAATAAAAGGAAAAAGGGAGTGTTAGTTAAAGAGTCTTTCGGGAATTTTTAGGATCTCCAGTATACTCTAGTCGTAAATAGGAAATAATTGTAGGATGCCCCAAGGAGTTATGATATGTCTCGGGAAGGGGGAAGAGCATATTTCTAATAGGATCGTTCAGTGAAAGGTCTTTCTTGAGTGAGAAGATAGGAGGTTCAAGGCAGATTATATCTTACTAGGACGCGAGCTGATCAGAGTAAGGCTCCGGAAGATGCCAAGTATGTAGTACGTCGACAGGCAATAGGCAAAGAGTTACTGCAAGTGGTGGCCATAATCTAGAGCAAAGGATGAAAGGATGGTCTATGAGGTCACAAGAATCGAGCATAGGGCTACGACCCAAAGAGTAGAGAAGGTTAGACTCTGAGTAACGTTAAGGGTACATGAGCCAAATAAGGAAGGAGTCAAACATCGAGACAAACGATGCGAAGTATGAGGCCTAGAGAAGGCATAAGGTATAAATTTCGAGGTCGAAATTTTTCTTAAGGGGGGAGGAAATGTGATACCTCAACTTAGATTTAGGGTCCAACCTCAAGTACTAAATGAGCTGGACTAATAAGTTGAATCAAAATTTTGTCCCATCACACCCTGGGCAGCAAGCAACTGACATCATTGAAGTTCATACAACAAGAGTGAATTCTTGAGCCAAGGAAGCACGAGAATGAGGAATATGGAAGGATGAGTCCGATCAAATTTCGAGGACAAAATTTGTAACACCCTACCCTATACGTTTTCCCTAATCATATTGTTCATACAATTGCCGCGGAATTAATCTCGGGTGTTACATTAATTATCAAAATTACCCAAATAAAATTTCGACATGAATTACTCACGTAATGGGCTAACAGTTCTTGCAACTTATCCTGCAAAATAATTCGTCACAAACATATATACTCGCAACCATATGCATTGGCTTTTCTTAGCCATAGTCACACTTTTCATACTCCACAACTGCATACCATACTTATACATACCATAATCGTCACAACTTACACAGTTTCACAACATATACACATATCATCAACTTTCCACACCTGTGGATATCTCACACTGCATCAGAAGCTCGTATGCACATGAAAAACGTTCTCAAAACATTTTTTTTTACAAAAAGGTGTGGATCAATGGCCAAAATCCTAAGTAGTCGTCCAAGCACAGAATAGTTGAAGACCATACCTCATCTTGGCTTCAACTCTAGCTCCTCTCCCACCTAACACTTATCTACTGCTGCTGCTGATGATCTGCTTACACATAGCATAAGCAGAGAAGAAGAATAAAAGAGGGCCAGCTCATGGCTGAGTGAGACAATCATTGCATTGTGAGTCCATAACATAGCATACCCCTACCATACATCTAGCAAACAAGCCAAAGCACTAGGATCAGACCTCAGCCATCCGACATCCCAATAGGAAAAAGACTCAACCACCTTGACTTATGCATATGCATCTTATCATGTTTTACTTATAGGCGCCTGGCTACTCCCATTCTAATAACTCTCCCGGGAAACATACTCCATATCCCGTCGGATGTAGTCATACATACCCCAACATCCCGTCGGATGTGGTCATACATACCCCACACCACTATGGGTGTATTCATACCCCGACACAACTCTAGGTGTGGTCATATCTCGTAAGAATTCTTCAGTCACCACCACATGAGAGGTGTGACTATCATACATATCATAATAGAGTAATAGCGTAGGGAGCCCTAATTACTATTTAGTTGACCGTGAGACCAAAGTACTCTTACTTGATATCCTTATACATGATTGATAGACCGTCATTTACACATGTTTTTACCCCCATTCTTACACCGTTTGAGGTGTTGATTCTCGTGTTTTAGGCCGATTTCACGCTAGGTTGTGCTTGTTTGTGATGTTTCAGGTCCTAGTACGTGAATGAAGGCTTAGGAGCGAGTCTGGGGTCGATTGGACGAAGAACGGACGAATGGCGAGGTTTTTGGGGAGCTGCACGGGCAGACCAGGGAGGCTGCACGGCCGTGCACGTGAGCAATATGGTCGTGCGCCTTATGCCGAGGACACGCACGGGCAACCCCTGAAGCTCGCACGGCCGTGCACCCTGGCCGTGCGAGAGGGCTGAAGTTCGACTAAATGACACGCCGCGTTTTGAGTTGCACGGCCAGAATGGTGATATGCACGGCCGTGCACCCTGGCCGTGCGAGTCGGGATTTCCCGGTTTTAAGCCAAATTCCGAACCAAAGAGGAGGGAGAGCTGGGTTTTGGATCCCAAACACCCAAGGGACGAACCCTAGAGAGAGAGAGCGACTTGGGAACATTCTTGGAGCTATTTTGGAGGATTTCTTCGCCATTGGAGCTCGGGAATCAAGCTTGGAGATGGAGATTGAAGATCTAGATCAGATTTCTGCAGTCTCTCTCTTCTCTATGGAGTAACTTCCCTTCACTTAGGTTTTGAGGAACCTTAGTTCCATGAGTTAGGATCTTTCTTGTATGAAGTTTTGGATGCTATATTGTTTGATTATAATCGAATGATGCATGTTTATTGAGTCAATTGAAGTCTGATCAACTTTTCCTGATTTCTGCTGCAATCTGAGATAGATAGAATCTGATTAGGTTGCTAGAGTCTCATCATTCGGTAGTAGGAGATTGGCTATACGAGAGTTAGCCAGTTTACTGCTTTGTACTGGAATCCAATTCCAGTAGTGGAGTTCTGTGCTTATTGCTTCAGCTTTCTATCCCGGTGAAGACTAGTCGTCTGCCGGATAGTTAGACTGAGAGGGCTTGGTCAGCTTAAGAGATTCCAAGCTACTGTCGGATCTTCCGCAGTTTAATCAACAGTAAATCAACCAAAATGAATTACAACTTGGACCTAATTGAGGAGCTAGGGGGAATCATACCTAAGTGAGTTCCCAAACTGTAATTAGTAGTTTTACTTAGTTTAGTTAGTAGAGTAGTTTAGTTAATCAATCCTTAATCTAGTTTGCTAGATAATGAACTGAAGCTGAGTAATAGTAACTCTAGAGACCCGTGGATTCGATATTTATTACTTGTGCCACTATACTGCAGTCCCTTTCATTGGTTACACTTGGCCATTGTTAGGTGTTGTGTTTTAGAGCATCAATGATCCATATCTCATCTTGCTTAATCATAATTCATTACTTGGACATGTTCTTGACCTGGCCACAATTGGCTCAACATAACCAGGAGTCGTATAATTGCACTTCCTCGGGATAAACCCTCGTGCAAGTCATCCTCCTTAAACATCATAATCACCATGGGATATATATTTTCCCACTTGTACGTTCAAATACATTAATCATGAAAAATCATACCCAATCACTTTCTCGAACCATCATAAAGCATATCAACAGTCAAGCACACAATTTGCAACATATACACATTCATAAACATAAACCAGGTCCATATTGATTAGGGCAAGTCAATAATATCATACAGCAGTCAAGGGTTCATCATATAGCACAAAAGTCCATACACCCCTAATCATGCCATTCTAGTTCGCCTAGGTTAATTATAAGCATCAATATAATTATCGTGATACGACAAACCCGGTATGCCGTGCTAATCCCTCACAGTTCTGGTCGTTCAAACACTGGTTTAACCTTCCCGTACTAAAACGTCAATTTCACAAACGAACCCCGAATTACAATCCGAGACCGTCCTAATATCCCCTGCAGTATCCCCGTCAATATTAGTTCTAGGCTCCGGGTCAAATTCTTGATAAAAACACATCAAACCCTGGTTGGAGCTAGATTCAGCGATCCCGGCTCCGACCTAAATAATTGTCGAAATTCATAGATTAGAACTAGAGAATTGATTACCTCGCTCCAGGAAGCTCGTATATGAAATCTGGGCTTAATCCGGCTTTCAGATACCCCAAAACCCTAATTTGACTTATCGGGAATTCTAGAAATTCCTGAACCAAAAACTCGTTTTAAAGCTCTAAATTGATAAATCACGATGTATAGATGAATTAGGCATTACTTACGGGATTTTTGGATAGTTAGAGCTCAAAAATCAAGCTCTGCTATTTCTCTCCGAGTTCCTTGTGCGCGCTTGGTTTCTCAGCTACTCTCGGTCCGAAATTGGAAAAAGAACGAACAGAGTGGGAAAGAATGGTGGGGAGGGGAATTATATATATAAGTGGTCTGTGACCGACTTATATAAAGTATATATATAATATTATATATATTTAATACGTATACTTATTTGATCGATCGATAATCCGATTTTCGTTGAAATACTATCAAAATACTCGATTTTAAATCGCGAAATTTCTAGCGATCGAAATATGGGTTTTGCCGGAACGGGGTGTTACAATTATCCCCTCCTTAAAAGATTTCGTCCCCGAAATCTAACCTTTAGTCGTACTCTAACTCCTCTTACTTACCCTTAACATGGTCTATCATACATAAAGTCATGACCTAACTCTTAGGTTAGGCGATTCATAACATAGAAAGTAACACATAACACGTCAAGTCCCCATGTTTAGGTTTCAAAAACCTATACTGGGCTATCACAACAAAAGCACATCAACAAGTTCAAAACTTAACTTACTAAGAAAGATTGTTAACCTTTAAAGTAGGTCGCTACCAACTCAGGGTACTTCTCTTGCATACTTGCTTCAGTCTCCCAGGTAGAAATCTCGCTTTCCTGATTCCTCCACACAACCTTCAACATTGGAATTTCCTTTCTACGAAGAGTCTTAATCTGAAAATCAACAATCTCAACTTGAACCTCTTCACATGTCAAATTTGGACCTAACTCGATATCTTCTGGTTGTATAACATGGGAAGGATTCACTTTGTATCTTTTTAACATGCTCACATGAAATACATTGTGGATTTGGGATAGCTCTTGAGGCAATGCTAGTTTATAAGCCACTGGTCCAATTTTCTCTGTGATTTCATATGGTCCAATATATCGAGGTGCAAGCTTTCCTTTCTTACCAAATCTCATCGCCCCTTTCCATGGTGACACTTTGAGAAATACTTTCTCACCCACTTCGAAATTAACTTCACACCTATTCGTGTCAACATAAACTTTATGTCGATCTTGAGCCACCCTCATACGCTCCCTGATTTCCTTGACCTTATCAACTTTGATCTGAACTATGTCTGGCCCTGATATTTGCCTTGCTCCTTCTACATCCCAACATAATGGTGTTCTAAACTTCCTCCCATAAAGTGCTTCATATGGTGGAACACCCAAACTACTATGGTACTGATTGTTGTAAGCAAACTCAATCAGGGGCAAATGGTCAATCCATGATTCCTCCCATTGCATTACACATGATCGAAGTAATTCGTCCAAAGTTAGGATGGTTCGTTCACTCTGCTCATCTGTTTGAGGATGATAAGCTGAAGTAAAATGTAATTTAGTTCCCAATGCATCATGTAAACTTTGCCAAAACCGAGATGTGAAGCTCGGTTCTCGATCAGAAACAATAGAAATTGGCACACCATGTAATCTGACAATCTCCTTAATATATAGTTGAGACAAAGTCTCCAGTGATGGTTTCCACCTAATGGGTAAAAAGTGAGCCGTTGGTTAGTCGGTCCACAATAACCCATACTGCATCTTTTCCCCTTGATGATGGGAGACCATATACAAAATCCATTGTGATTCTTTCCCACTTCTATTCTGGAATTGGAAGTGGTTGCAGTTTCCCTACAGGAGCTTGATGTTCTGCCTTAACTCTCTGACATACCAGACATGTGAAAACATGTTCAGCCGCTTCCTTTTTCATCCCACGCCACCAAAAATATGGTTTGATTGTGTGATACATTTTAGTAGCTCCTGGGTGCATAGCATAAGCAGAAGAATGAGCTTCATCTAGGATCTCTTTCCTCAAGTTATGAACATTAGGAACACATGCTCTTCCATTCATCTTCAACATGCCATCTACCATTTCAAATGGGCTTTCTTTTCCTTCCTTAATGTCTTGAATGATTTTTGCCAACTCTGAGTCCTCCTTCTGCTTCTCACGAATTTTTTCGTGCAACAAAGGTTGAATGTTTAACCGAGCTAATAACCCTGTTACACCATCCACTTCCAAATCAACATTCATTTCCCTTAATTCAACCAGATCATTTATATTCTTCTTCCCCTTTCTGCTTAGGGCATCAGCAACTACATTAGCTTTACCTGGATGATAATTAATTTTACAACCATAATCTTTTAGAAGTTCAATCTATCTCCTCTGACTACTATTTAAAGCCTTATGATCCATAATATACTTCAGGCTTTTGTGATCAGTTAGGATTTTAAAAGTCTCACCATACAAATAATGTCGCCAAATCTAGAGAGCAAATAGCACCGCTGCCAACTCCAAATCATGAGTGGGATAATTTACTTCATGAGGACGCAATTGCCTAGAGGCATATGCGATTACTCTTCCATCTTGCATTAACACACAGCCCAATCCTTGATACGAGGCATCACTATACACCACAAACTCTCCCTGATTCGAAGGTAATGCAAGGACTGGTGATGTGGTGAATCTCTTTTTTAGTTCATCAAAACTCTTTTGATATGATTCATCCCAAACATACTTGGTATTCTTCCTCAACAGTTTAGTCAATGGTGTAGCAATTTTGGAAAATCCTTCGACAAACCGCCGATAATAACCCGCCATGCTAAGAAAACTTCTCAACTCCTACACATCTTTTGGTGGATCCCAACTCACCACTGCTTCCACCTTTTTTGGATCCACCTCGACACCTCTTCCAGAAATTACATGTCCCAGAAATATTACCTCCTTCAGCCAAAACTCACATTTTGAGAATTTTGCATATATTGTTTCTCCCTTAGAATTTGCAACACAATTCTAAGGTGAGTTTTGTGCTCCTACTCACTTTTAGAATAGATGAGCATATCATCTATGAACACAATCACAAACTTATCAAGATATTCATGGAAAACTCTGTTCATAAGAGCCATAAATACCGCTGGTGCATTAGTGAGTCCAAAAGGCATTACCAGGAACTCATAATAACCATATCTTGTTCTAAAAGCTGTCTTTGAGGTCGCTCCATCTGCCACTTTCAGTTGATGGTATCCAGACCTCAAATCAATCTTAGAAAAGACTGATGCACCCTGCAATTGATCAAACAAATCATCAATTCTTGGAAGGGGATAACGATTCTTCATTGTCGCCTTATTCAACCTCCGGTAGTCAATGCACATTCTCATGGAGTCATCTTTCTTCTTGACAAACAAAACTGGTGCACCCCAAGGTGAGATGCTAGGTCGAATAAACCCCTTGTCTAGCAATTCTTGCAATTGTTCTTTAAGCTCCTTCAGCTCAATTGGTGCCATTCTATATGGTGCCATTGAAATTGGTGTTGTGCCAGGTACCAATTCAATATCAAACTTCCCTTTCTGGTGGAAGGCCGGGAAGTTCTTCGGGGAATACATCAGGAAACTCCCTTACCACCTCTACATCCTCAACCTTCTTATCATTTACAACAGTAACTTGAGCAAGAAAGGCTTCACAACCTTCCTTCACTAATCGAAAAGCTTCCAAGGCAGAAAGAAAACCATGAGTCTCCTTTTTCTTAATGCCTCGGAATACAATAGGACCTTTATCTGGTGTGTTGAATAACACTTCTTTCTTTTGACAATCCACAACAGCTCCATGTGTTGCCAGAAAGTCCAATCCAAGGATGACATCAAATTCATCAAAAGGTAGCAGAATTAAATCTGCTGCTAGGAAAGCTCCTTCCACACAAATGAAGGAACTTCTAATAACTGAGTCTACCTTCAAGGTATCTCCCACAGGTGTTTTAACACATAAGGTATAACCTAGCTTATCTGGAACTAAGCGTAG